GGCTCTGTCTAAAAAAAAAAACAGCATAGAATTTTCTTCCCTTGGCTGCCACTTCATAGTGTTATATTAACATTTAAGTATTTATTATTATTATTACTGAAGAGTTCCAGTTACTAGGAAATACAAAGTATCCTTTAGTTCATAGAACATTATATATCTATTTAAAACCTTTTTACCATTTGACAGTACCTTAGAAGAAGAATCCATTTCCTTTTTCCTAGATGAAGTGAACATTTTGCTACTTCACCAGACTTATAAAAAGAAATGTTTGTAGAAGTAAAAATGAAGTTATAAATTTTCACTACTCTGATTTCTTTTTTCTTTCTTTCTTTTTCTTTTTTAAGAGATAGAGTCTCACTTTATCGCCCTCGGTAGAGTTCTGCAGCGTCACAGCTCACAGCAACCTCCGACTCCTGGGCTTAGGTGATTCTCTTGCCTCAGCCTCCCGAGTTGCTGGCACTACAGATGCCCGCCATAATGCCTGCTATTTTCTCTTTTGTTGTTGCAGTTTGGCCAGGGCTGGGTTCAAACCTGCCACCCTTGGTATATGGTGCCAGCACCTTACCCACTGAGCCACAGGTGCTGCCCTACTCTGTGATTTCATTCTTTTTATTTTTTTGGCGATGGAATCTTGCTCTGGCCAGGCTGGAGTGCAGTGGCATGACCATAGCTCATTGCAGCATCAAACTCCGGGGCTCCAGTGATCCTCCTACTTCAACCTCTCTAGTTGCTGGGACTATCGGCATAAGTCACCAGGCCTGGCTGGGATCTTTATTCTTTTAGTGAATGAATGCCAATTTAAGTGATGATTGACCTCATTTAGAATTTCTGAAATTTGCACATTGGGGATAAGTAAATATTACTGAGGTTCCTTTAAGACAGTTTAATAGATATATTTGTGTCAGGAAGCATCAGAAAGGCAGTAATCTCCTACATGGCATGACACTGACATTTCAATGGAATTTATATACATAAATATAACTACATTTCCTTTAGTAAATTGTGCTCTTTTAACTTAACCTCAGACAACGTACTATAGGACATCTCCCATAGACATTTTCCTAAGGAGCAGGTATTTTTAATTTCCAAATTCTATGACTAGAAGGTTGATGAGGTGAAGGAGTGATCCTGTTCCCCACAAGGAGGTGGGTGAATGTGGGTGGCACCACCAAACCCCACTGAAAACGCCTTCCCAGGAAGGTGGCAGGCAGTGGCTGTGAAAGCCAGCCTTTACAGGTACTAGACGAGACTTGACCTATCAGAGGGCTGGAAAATATTCTGTTATTTTGTTTAAAAGGCTCTTTTCAAATAGAAAGAAAATACTGTAATGGAAGCTATTCCTTGTTAGGAAACAGGATAAAATCTATTCTGTAGTAGTCTGCCAAGTGATTTTTACATAGCATTATATGAGAAGATGGTACTTTGTCCTAATATATTTTTAAGATGTAAATATACTAATACAATAACTTTTAACATAAAATGGTGTGAAAAAAAACAGAATACATTAACCTGCATTTCTGAGTCAGGTGATGACTGGCATTCTAAGTGGAGCAAATATTTCCTCTCTGTGTGTCCTAGAGCTGCATTTGGATCAAACACACACCTTATTTCAAACTGGATTTCCTTTGAGAAACTAGTCTTTGGTTCTCTTTTTACACACTGGAATTATGTATGAATACATGTAATTATTATAAAATACTGGGCATTTAAATACATATACTAATTTTGGTGTACAAAAGCTATAAACTCAATAAAGAGTCATACCCTCAGTCTCTAGAACAATGCTTGCTGTACTCCAGCTACTGAATAGATAGATGAATAAATGGATGAATAAAAAAAATGAACAGGCTCGGCGCCTATAGCTCAACCGGCTAAGGCGCCAGCCATGTACACCTAAGGTGGCAGGTTCGAATCCACAGCCCGGACCCGCCAAACAACAATGATGGCTGCAACCAAAAAATAGCCAGGCGTTGTGGCAGGCGCCTGTGGTCCCAGCTACTTGGGAGGCTGAGGCAGGAGACTCGCTTGAGCCCAGGAGTTGGAGGTTGCTGTGAGTTGTGATGCCACAGCACTCTACCCAGGGGGATAGCTTGAGGCTCTGTCTCAAAAAAAAAAAAAAATGAACAAATGAAAAGAATGTGGATTTTGAAGTCAAACAGATCTGGACTCAAATCCTTATTCCACAACTTTATAACTGTGTTTCACCCAAGGAAATGTACAGAATGTCTTGGGTCTGTGTTTATTCATTGTGAATCAAGGATGACATCATCTATGTTACAAAGATATTACAAATTTATATTATATTAGAAAGTAAGTTGTATAGAGTGGAGACTTAAAAAAAATCTGTTGAATGAATGAATGAATTTGAGGTCCTCATTATCTGTAATATGTGTTTATGTCTGAATCTTTCCCATTGGCTTCTGACTTTTAGGCCTTTTCATCTGTCTGCTTTTTATGTCTTTACCAAAGCTTTGAGAAGATCATTGGTGGCACACATCCCTGTCGTAAATGCTTCTCTCTCTAGTTACATTTCGTCTTTCCTGTTTTATTTCTTTTGCTTGTTTTAGAATTTTAAAATACCAGCTAACTAGAAGCTAGGTAGTCAAAATGGTTAGATAAATCAGGAGTAAATAGGCTCTGTGCCAAGGTTTGATAATTCTGCTCTGAGTAAATTTCATAATCTTTAGAAAATACTTAATGTGACATTTGCTGCTCAGGTTTTTTTTTTTTTTTGCTTTCTCTTCAACTTTAACCTATTTTGGGTAGAGCTGCTGAGTGACTGTAAGATTTATACATTATTATTAAAGTATTTTCATACTTGAAAATCATACCCAGCTGATTCTAATGAATATTATAAAGGTTGATGAACAAAATACAAGTCACAAGTTCCTTAAACCAAGAACATCTATACAAATTAGGCCAGCTCTTTGCTCAAGCAAAAACATTCTAAATTTAATTCCTCTCTTTCTGTCTCAGGAATATTCTCATTTAGTTTTAGATAAGATGTGGTAAGCAAGGGAATTAATCAAAATTTCTTATCATAATAGTTTAACATCCCTAAGGACAGCAAAAATCATAAGCACAGGAATTTTACTAACTTCACAGTTAGAAATCAGTTTTTCCATCTGTGTCTTCTTTCTTTTCTCTTTCTTTCTTTTTTTGAAAGTCTTGTTTTGTTGCCCTCAGTAGAGTGCTGTGGTGTTATAGCTCACAGCAACCTCAAACTCTTGGGCTCAAGTGATCTTCCTGCTCAGCCTCCCAAGTAGCTGGGACTACAAGTGCCTGCCACAATGCCCAGCTATTTTTAGACACAGGCATCTCACTCTTGCTCAGGCTGGTCTTGAACTCCTAAGATCAAGTGATCCAGCCACCTCTGCTCCTGGAGTGCTAGGATTACAGGCATGAGCCACCATGCCCAGCCTTCATCTGTACCTTTTTGTAAATAGTAAAGGGAATAAGTTTGGAGGCAGATTTAAATTAATAAAGGAATCACAATAGAAATAAAAGTAATGGATAATAAAAACCTTTATGAGAATGGCAAAAAGTTTATTTACCTTGGGTAGGTGTCTCCCCCAAATCCAAAATGTAGATGTCCTTTGCCCATGGCATAAGGAGGGTCGAATTTTAGCCTGTACTCCTCGGGGAGTGAAATTGGCATGATCCCACCATATTCTTTTCCAGCGCCCCATGGAAGCCTGCATTCGCGGACTGTGTCCCTTAACTCATACCTGTGAAAGAAGGGAGGCTTTTTGAAACAGCTTCAGGAATATAACATATGCTTAACTGCATAAAATTCCTATTGCTTCATATGTCTTTGCAGATTATATTTTCAGAACACAGAATTCTCTGTGTTGAGTACATTAAGATAGATGTAGGTTATGTAGGCATCATGGGACTGCTGAAGGCATGAGGTTAAATTCCTGAGGACCTAGAGATTATCTTTTTTCCCCACAGTTATAGTGTGTTTTATTTTGTAAACATCTTTATTGGAATATAATTCAAATGCCACATAATTAAGTCATTTAAAGTTATAATTCAATGGCTTTTAAATTTATTCACAGGTATGTGAATTCTTCACCATGGTCCATTTTAGAAAATTTTCATCATCTCAAAAAAACCCCTGAAGCCATATCTCTTATGCTCCCCTTGCTCACCCTAAGCAACCACTAATCTACTTTCTGTCTATGGGTTTGCCTGTTCTGGACGTTCATATAAATAGAATCATATCCTACGTGGTCTTTGTAACTTAGCTTCATGTTTTCAAGACTCTTCCTGGCGGCACATGTCAGTGCGTCATTCTTTTTAATGGCTGCATAAAATCCCACCACATGGATACAGCACATTTTGTTTATCCATTCATCAGTTAATGGACATTTGGGTTATTTCTACCTTTGGCTCTTGTGACTAATGTTTCTATGAATGTTCACGTTCAGAGTTTTGTTCACATACCTGTTTTTTCATTTTCTTGGGAATATAGTTAGGAGTGGAACTCCTGGGTCATAGGGCGGCTCTACGGTCAGTTTGTTGAGGAATTGTCAAACCTGTTTTTACAGCACCTGCTCCATTTTACCTTCTCACCAGTACTGTATGAGAGTTTCAATTTCTTCACATCCTCGTCAACACTAATTATTTTCTGTTTAAAACTTTTTTTTTTTTTTATTGGCTAGGCGGTGGTTCACACCTGTAACCCCAGCATTTTGGAAAAGCCAAGGCAGAAGGATTGCTTGATGCCAGGAGTTAGAGACCAGTCTGGGCAACATAGCAAGAACCTGTCTCTAGTAAAATATTAAAAAAAAAATTAGGGGGGCATGGTGGCACGGGCCTATAGTCCCAGCTGCTTGGGAGGCTAAGGCAGGAGCAAATTGTGAGCTTAGGAGTTTGAGGCTATAGTGAGCTATGAAAGTGCCTCTGCACTCTAGCTTGGCCAATAGAGAAAGACCTTGTCTCAACACATACACAATTCTTTTTTTTTTTTTTGAGACAGAGTCTCACTATGTTGCCCTCAGTAGAATGATGTGGCATCATAGTTCACAGCAACCTCCAACTCTTAGGCTTAAGTGATTCTCTTGCCTCAGCCTCCCAAGTAGCTGGGACTACAGGCACCTGCCACAATGCCCAGCTATTTTGTTGTTGGTGGTGGTAGTGCAGTTGTTTAGCTGGCCCAGGCCAGGTTTGAACCTGCCACCTTTGGTGTATGTGGCTGGTGCCCTAACCACTGTGCTACAGGCACCGAGCCAATACACACAATTTTTATTATAGCCATTCTAGTGGGTGTGAAGTAGTAGTATCTCATTGTGGGTTTTTTTTTTTTGTTTGTTTTTGTTTTTTTTTATTTGCGACAGAGCCTCAAGCTGTCACTCTGGGTAGAGTGCCGTGACGTCACAGCTCATAGCAATCTACAACTCCTGGGCTCAAACGATTCTCCTGCCTCTGCCTCCCAAGTAACTGGTACTACAGGCACCTACCACAATGCCCGGCTATTTTTTGGTTGTAGCCATCATTGTTGTTTGGCGGGCCTGGGCTGGATTTGAACTTGCCAGCTCAGGTGTATGTGGCTGGTGCCTTAGCCGCTTGAGCCACAGGCGCTGAGCCCTCATTGTGGTTTTGATTTGCATTTCTTTAATGACTAATGATGTTGAGCATTTTTCCATGTTCTGATTAATCATTTGTATATCTTTTTCTGAGAAATATTTGTCAGGCCAGGCAGGGTAGCTCACACCTGTAGTCGTAGCCCTCTGAGAGGTGGAGGTCGGTGGATTGCTTGAACTCAGGAGTAGGAGACCAGTCTGAGCAAGTATGAGAACCTATCTCTAAAAAAATAGCTGGGTGTTGTGGCTGGTGCCTGTAGTGCCAGCTACTCTGGAGGCTGAGTCAAGAGAACTGCTTGAGCCCAAGAGTTTGAGGTTGCTGTGAGCCATGTATGACACCACCACACTCTACCGAAGGTGACAAAGTGAGATTCTGTCTCAATTTATCTATTTTTCCTTTTGTTGTTTGTGCTCTTGGTGTCATTATCTAAGAACACATTGCCAAATCCAAGATCATAAAGATTTACTTCTGTTTTCTTCTAAGAGTTTTATAGTTTTAGCTCTGGCATTTAGGTCTTCGATTCATGATGAGTTAATTCATGTGTATGGTGTGAGACAGGGTCTAACTTATTCTTTTTCATGTGGCTGTCCACTTATTTTATCACTGTTGAAAAGGTTATTGATTTTTTGATTTTAAAAAATAAAAAGACTGTGAAGGAATAATACTGATATTATAAAGGCTCTACTTGTGCCTAAGTTCTATCTAGAGCTTCTGTGATAATGGTTCTCAAAGCGTGGTTTGTAGACTAGTTGCAGAAGTATCTCCTAAGAGCTTATTGGACATGCAAATTATCAAGTTTCCTTCCAGAGCCCAGTAATGTTTTAATAAGCCCTCCAGGTGATTCTTATCCATGCTAAAATTTAGAAGAAGCACTGTCCTATTCAATAGTTACTATTAGGGGTGTCCAACCTACAGGGTGCATGCTGATTTTCTGAGGACTTCTTTTGCTTATCTGTGGTGTTTGATATCACAAAAAGTATGCATAGATTTTGTTTTTGCTAATCAGCTTTCATTATTGTTTGTGTATTTAATGTGTGGCCCAAGACAAAGCTACTTCTTTCAATGTGTAGCAGAGAAATAACAAGGTTGGACAGCAATCAGGTCTCTAAATCTCAACTCTTACAACAGTACTATTCAGTGGACAACAGACATGGGACTGAAGGGCAGGGACTCTATCTTGTTCACTGTTGTAACCATGTTTTACCCTAGTGCCTGGCACACAAGAAGTGCTCAATGAATATCTTACTGAGTGAATGAATAAGGACAAAGAGATAGATTTGTTTCCTGGACTGCTTTCTATGATGCTGGAATGAAATTCTCTGGCTGGGGTAAGAGCCTCACGAAAACAAACATATTATCTTGCAAATGTAATTAGGCAGAATTTAATGATTCTAGTTTTTAGTAATGGCAAACTAGGTTATTTGGACCAAATTTCCCATGGAAAACAACTAAAAATGTTGGGAAGAAAAAAACCAATTAAAAAAAATCAGGAGGCCAGGCATGGTGGCTCATGCCTATAATCCTAGCACTCTGGGAGGCCAAGGTGGGTGGATTGCCTGAGATGACAGGTTGGAGACCATCCTGAGCAAGCACAAGACCTCATCTCTAAAAACAGCTGGGCATTGTGGTGGGCATCTGTAGTCCCAGCTAGTGGGAGGCTGAGGCAAGAAAATTGCTTGAGCCCAAGAGTCTGAGGTTGCTACGAGCTGTGACACCACAGCACTCTACCCAGGGTAATAAAGTGAGTCTCTGTAAAAAAAAAAAAAAAAAAAAAAATTGGTCTTGTTGACAAGCCAGAAGAGGATATAAGTGCTATGAAAGAGGATAAATGGGAAATCTAGTAAGGTAAACACAGAAGCCAGTATTGCCCTTAGGGCAGTGCCCATTCTTGAAAATTTACATATTTGTTTTCTAGGCCTTGCAAGGTAAAGGGTGCAGAAATCAGCCAGGTGAGGAATCAAAAATCATTATCTCCACAATAAGCTGGGACCCTGAAAGGCTTACGTTCTCACATTAAAGGTGAGTCAGAAGTAGACTAGCTCTCTAGAGACCAAAGTTTGCATGCACCCAAAACTTGACCTTGGATTTAAGCAGTCCTGAATTGGTAGTATGCCCCTAGGCACTTGGCAGGAAAAATAAGAATCTTTTCAGGTGGAAGGATTCTTGAGGGAATCACAAGATGAGTTCTAAAGGATGAGCAGGCATCTAGTTCTCATACCCCAGCTCCCGGGGTCTCAGCAGTAAGGGCAGCTGGAGGAGCGGCGCTGGCCAGGCACCCACCTGGCATGCACCCTGCCCACTACCTTGATGCTGAAGAGGAAGGTCAGCTCTGCTGAAGGGGCTGGGGAGGAAGAATCCAAGAGGAGACTGTCAGGTTGTCAGCTAAGCCTGCTCCTGCCAAAGAGGAAAAGGCGGCAAAAAAGGCAGTAGCAAGGGATAAACCTTCAGACAAAAAAGTGCAGCCAAAAGGGAAAAGGGGAGCAAAGGGAAGGCCGAAGGGGCTAACCAAGAAACTGGAGATTCACCTGCAGGAAATGGAGAAACTAAAACCGAGTAGAGTCCAGGCGCTGATGAAGCAGGAGAGAAAGAAGCCACGTCTGATTCGTATCACAGACCATGTCTTCTCAGTGGTCCCTGTCTCCCTTCTTGTACAATCCAGAGGGATATTATTATTATTATTATTTTTTTTTTTGCAGTTTTTGGCCAGGGCTGGGTTTGAACCCACCACCTCTAGCATATGGGGCCAGTGCCCTACTCCTTTGAGCCACAGGCGCCACCCTCAGAGGGATATTTTTATCAACTATTTTATAAATGCAAGTTTTTCAGTAGCTCTAGAAACATTTTTAGGAAGGAGGGAAACCAACCTCATCCTATTTTTTAAATGTAAGTGCTTTTTTTTAAGAGGTCAAATCATTGGCTGGTTGTTTTATTTTTTGGTACAACCAGAAAATAGTGTGAGATGTTGATTATGGGAGCCTCTGGCTGCCTTGGATGTCAGCGTAACATGCCACAGACGGGATTAGTCTTTATAGACTATAATATGGAGCTTACTACACGGCAATGTGGAGTCCCAGTCCTGCATTTAGTGTCTTGAACGTTTTAAATTACTTCTGTTCCCGTGTTGTTTTTTAGTAGAATT